GACGAGGCGGTTCGGATCACGATTTCCGTCATGCTGGTTCCCTTGAGACTTGGGTGAACGCGATGCCGCTTTAATCACGCCAAGGCAAGGCCCACGACGCGACCGAACGCCCCAGCTCAATCAAGAGCCCTTCTTATCAATATAGGTCGCCACGAAATCAATAATGATATTGGCAAATTGCCAGTTATACCCCGTAAAAAGCCCTTATTTGGAAAAGTCAGATCCTGATTAACATCGAAAGCAAAGGCACATTATAAATTCCCGATATATGCGCTTTCCTGCATACCAGCTTGACCCCCAGCACCGACTTCCTATCTAATACTCTCGATCCCTATTTCGTTCATTTAGCGCCGCTGACAGCGGCAGGAGGACATGTGGCTTTTTCCAAACCCAATGCACGTCAAAACCGAATCGATCTCAATCACCTTGGCGCCTCCGGCGACATCGCGGTTCTCGCTGTTGACGGATTTGACGCGGGTGACCTGACTGACATCGCCGGCTCCGCGGAACGCGCCGGATACCGGACGATCATGATCAGCCCGAAAAAAGGCCTGATCACTGGCCGCCCCCAGGGCGGTGACGAAATGAATTTCGTGGTCGACGCCCAACCGGGCGAAAAGGCCGCAAGCGCGTTTACCGGTCTGGTGCTGCCTGCGGGCGCGGCCAGCATCGAGCGGCTGCGAAATGATCAGGATGCGCGCCTGTTGATCGCGGATTTCCTGCACGCCGGCGCTCCCGTGTGTGCGCTGGGCGAAGCTGTGGCGCTCGTCGCAGAGATCGCGGAGACCGCTGATCCCAAATCCGACGCCGTTCTGGCGCTCAAGGGTGATCTGTTCGCCGCGGATGGCGATGACGCGCGCGCCGATGCGCGCAGCCTGTTCATCAAGGCGATGTCCATGACGGCCGAAGCAGCCTGATCCTGGCGGACAGCTCCGACGACAACGCCCCGGCCGATGGCCGGGGCGTTTTTCGTTGCAGGACGGGGCACTCCGGCTAGGCCTCTTCCCAGTCCTTGGCGATGGTCCGCGACCCGATCAGGAACAGGGCGCCGGCCACAAGATAAAGGGTCGCGCCGATCATGATCGAATAGCGCAGGGCCTCTTCACCGAAGCTTGGCGTCAGAAGAGTCGAAAGCTCACCGAGGGCGTAAACCCCGACGCCGATACCCAGCAGGTTGTTGATCAGCAGGAACACGGCCGAGGCCATGGCGCGCATATTGGGCGGCACCAGATGCTGGAAGGCCGACAGCGTCGGGCCAAGCCAGGCCAGGCCCAGACCCGTCGGGATCATGAACAGAAGGACCGCCATCAACGGCGACGGCGCCAGCACGCCTGCGATGTAGAACGGATAGGTGACAAAGAAGGCCACCGCCGGAACAATCGCGTACATGCGCTTGGAGCCCTTGCCCATCAGGTCGCCCAGCACGCCGCCGAGAATGATCCCCAGAGAGCCGCCGACGAACAGGATGGCGCCGAACAGCCAGCCCGACTGGATGATCGCATCCTGGAGACCGAGATCGGAGAAGAAGCTGCGACGGAAGAAGCTGGGCACCCAGAAGAAGACGCCATAGCCCATCATCGAGCTGCAGGACGCGCCCAGGGTTAGGAACCAGAAGCTCGGCTTCTTCGCCAGGACCGCCAGCACCTTGAAGATGCCCGGCTTGTCCTGTGTGACCGCAGGCTCACCGGCGACGGCTTCGTTTTCCGCCAGATTGGCGTCCACGGACGGCCGCTGGGGCGCATCAAGACCACCCCGCTTGGGCTCGCGCACGGTCAGCTTGAAGATCGGCGCAATCACCAGGCCGAGCACGCCCACGATGATGAAGGCCGCCCGCCAGTCGAGATTCTCGCTCACCGCGCCGCCTGCGATCTGGGCTCCGGCGACGACGCCGAAGGCGGACCCGATGGGGATGCCCAGCGAATAGATGGCCAGCGCTCGCGCCCGGCTTTGCGGCGGGAAATAATCCGCGATCAGCGAGTAGGACGGAGCGACACCCCCCGCCTCCCCCACGCCAACGCCGACGCGAGCGAGGAACAGCTGGACGAAATTGGTGGCCAGCCCGCAGATGGCGGTAAAGCCAGACCAGATCGCCAGGGAGATTGTGATGATCCAGGTGCGCTTGGTGCGGTCCGCCAGCCAGGCGATCGGTACGCCCAGCGTCGAATAAAGAAGCGCAAAAGCGATGCCGCCAAGCAATCCGAGCTGTCGGTCCGACAGATCCAGCTCCTGCTGGATCGGAATGGCCAGAATGGAAATGATCTGACGGTCCAGGAAGTTGAACGCGTAGACGATGAACAGCATGGCCAGGACCCAGGCGCCATACCCCTTGCTGGGCGGCGCGAGTGGAGCTCCGGGCTTCGCCTCGGTTTGAGTCGACATATCTCTCCCCTGGTCTTTTGTGTTGTGCTCCGCCTTGGCGGCGCTGACCACATACTGAAGGCGTAAACCTTCAAAAGGCAAAGAAAAAACGCCGCCAACCCGGCAAGGTTGGCGGCGTTTCCTCGTCACACGCGATTAATAGCGGTAGGTCAGGGTCGCGGTGAAGGTCCGCGGCGGGCCATAGAAGGCCACAACCGAGTCGTCGAAGATGGCGCCCGGGAAGTTGTAACCGCCGATGCGATACTCCTCATCGGTCAGGTTGCGGCCATGAAGACCGATTTCCCAATGTTCATTCGGCGCGCTCCAGACGGCGGACAGGTCCACCAGAGTGTAGCCGTCTTCATCCAGCAGCGGGTTCGGGAATTCGAACTGGCTGTAGCTGTCACGGTAGGAGATCGACGGCGTAACCGCCAGGTCGCCCCCGAAGGCTTCCGCTGTGTAGGTCAGCCCCAGATAGCCGCTCCATTCGGGCGAATTCTGGAACACGACCTGATCGGAAATGTCCACATAGGCTTGAGCCACGAGGTCATAACGCAGGAATTCATCGAACTCCGCCTGCAGCCAGCCGAGAGCAAAGTTGGCGGTCAGGTTTTCGGTCAGGAAGAGCGACCCTTCCAGCTCGGCGCCGTAGATGGTGGACTGGCCCACATTGTCCACGAAGCTGGCGATGCCGGTCGCGGTCGGGACCTGGGTGGTCACCTGCTGATCCTGATAGTCAGACCAGAACAGGGCGGAACTGAAGTTCAGCACGCCGCCGATATTCTCGCCCTTCAGGCCCAGCTCGAAGCTGTCCACGGTTTCCGGCTCATAGCCGTTCACGGTGTCCGGCGTCAGGATGGCGTCGCCGCGCATGTCGAAACCGCCGGACTTGAAGCCCTGGCTGTAGGAGGCGTAGCCGGTCAGTTGATCATTGAGATCATAGGAGACCGACAGTCGCGGGGTGAACTGATCGAAGCTGCGCTCGCTGGTGTAATCGGTGCGCAGCAGGATCGGGGTCGCCGCCGGACCGCCGGTCAGCGGCGTGCGGCCGACGCCCAGATAGTTGGCGCGGAAGACGTCGCCGGTCTTCTTGTCTTCCGTGTAGCGAGCGCCCAGCGAGACGCGCAGACGATCGGTCACGTCATAGCTGAAGTCGCCGAAAATGGCGTAGCTCTCGGTGTCCACGCTGCCGCCGGTCCCGATGGTGATGCCCAGAAGGCCCGCCACGGTGTCGAACGCGCCCTCGGCCGTGCTGTCGAGATAGTAGACGCCGACAACGCCCTGCATCCGCTCGCCTTCATAGGCCAGCTGGAATTCCTGGGTGAACTGGTCGTCGGCGTAATAGGCCGGGATGTCCAGAACCGGGGTCGGCGTGTTGTCAAAATCGATGATGGTGTCGGTATCGCCCTCGCGATAGGCGGTGATCGACTTGAAGGTCAGCGTGTCGCTGAAATTCCATTCCGCCGTCAGGGACAAACCTTCGGTCGAGACCGAGTTCTCGCCCACAAGGCCGGCGCGGGTGTCATAGATGTCATCCAGCGGCGTGGAGCCCGGCAGAGCCCCCGGCAGGATCCGCGAACCATGACGCGGATTGGAATCATCCTCGACGCGGTCATACGCAAGGCGGAAGAACAGATCGTCTGTCGGGGTCCATTCCGCGCTGAGGCGGAAAGCCGTGACATCCTTGTTGTAGTGATCCTGACCCGTGGTCAGGTTCTCGCCGTAACCGTCACGGGTGTAGCGCGCATAGGCGCCGCCAACGGCGAAAGTGTCTGACAGCGGCGTGGACGCCGACACCATGTAGTCGAGCTGATTATAGGAGCCGCCGGACACGCGCGCCATCAGCGTCGGGTCGCCATCCATGCGGGCTGTGACATACTTGATCGCGCCGCCAATGGTGTTGCGGCCGTAGAGCGTGCCCTGCGGGCCGCGCAGAACCTCGATGCGCTCGATGTCGAAGATGTCGAGCACGGCGCCTTGAGGACGCGCCACATAGACGTCGTCGATGTACAGGCCCACGCCCGGCTCAAAGCCCCAGAGCGGATCCTGCTGACCCACGCCGCGGATGAAGCTGATCAGGGTGGAGTTCGAGCCGCGTGCGACCTGCACGGTGGCGTTCGGGGTGATCGCCTGCAAGGTCGTGATGTCCTGGGCCCCGATCTGGTCGAGCTGGTCCGCTGAGAGGGCGGACACGGCCACCGGGACGTCCTTCAGGCTTTCCTCGCGACGGCGGGCCGTCACTGTGACGACATCGCGAACCGTGTCCGCGGATGTGCCGGCGTCTTGCGCCACGGCGGACGCGGCGAACGGCAGGGCGGACGCAGAGACGAGCAGTGCGGCCGCACTCAGAATGGTGCGTTTCATAGTCATGGGGTAATCCCTCCCTGTGAACGGAAGCTTCTATGAGCTTTTGCATGAGGTAAATTCAACGTTGAATGAAAAGTCAATAGCGATTAGGACTTCCGTCATAAACAACAAGGCCGCTGAGACCTGATAGACACAGGCTATGGCTGGCCAATTGAAGGCTTTGGGCTCTAAAAGGGAGCCCAAGGGAGGACCGGAAAATGACCGACGCCGGAGGAACGCGCCGGGGCGAGCGTACACGCACCCGCTTGCTCGACGCTGCTGAAAGTCTCTTTGCTGAAAAGGGCTTTCATGGCGTCACCGTACGCGCCATCGCCCGCCAGGCGGATAGCGACCCCGCGCTCGTCGCCTATTATTTCGGCGGCAAGCGCGAGCTGTTTGACGCTGTCCTGCTGCGTCGGGCGGAAGAGCTCAATGAGATTCGCTTGGCCGAACTGGCCGCCTGCGAAGCCAATGCCGGTCCCGAAGGCCCGACGCTGGAAGCGATCATTCACGCCTTCACCCATCCCCTGCTGGATCGCAGCGCCAATGGCGGCCCCGGATGGAAAAGCTATTTCGCCCTGGTCGGTCAGGTCACCAACTCTCCCGAATGGGGCGTTGCGATCATGTCCAAATACTTTGACCCGATCGTAAGGCGCTTTCTTGATGCGGTGCGCCGCGCCCTGCCCGATGCGCCCGAAGAGGAATTGTTCTGGAGTTATCACTTCCTGTCCGGCGCGCTGGTGCTGACCTTTGCAGACACCGGACGGATCGATGCGCTGTCCGGCGGGCTGTGCAAATCCAGTGATCTGGAAGCCGTCACGGAGCGCATGCCAGAATTCCTCGCGGCCGGCTTCAAGCGCATGGCGCAACGCCAGTCCAGCAAGACCCAAGCGACAGAGACTGTCCGATGACCCCGTTCTCCGAGCACTTCTACACCGCCCCTGACGGCATACGCACCTATTACCGGCGCTATCCCGCCCAGGGCGACAGCGGCAAGACGCCGGTCCTGTGCCTGCACGGGCTGACTCGCAACAGCCGCGATTTTGAAGATCTCGCCCCGATTGTCGCCGAATCAGGACGCAGCGTGATCGCACTTGATGTGCGAGGGCGTGGCCGGTCTGACTATGACAGCCAGATCGAGAACTATAATCCCGCAAAATACGTCGAGGACGTCATCGGCGTTCTGGACGAGCTGGGCTGGAGTCAGGTCATCTCCATCGGGACTTCGATGGGCGGACTGATGACGATGATTCTCTCCACCCTGCGTCCGAAACTTCTGACCGGCGTCGTCATGAACGATATCGGCCCTGAACTTGATCCTGCCGGTCTCAAACGCATCCAGGGTTATGTGGGCGGCGCGGGCAAATTCGCCAACTGGGATGAAGCGGGTGAGGCCCTGCGCGCGATCAATGGCGTGGCCTTCCCCAGAGAGACCGGCGCGGACTTCTGGATCGCCTTCGCCAAGCGCACCTGCCGGGCACTGGACACCGGCGAAATCGTTCTCGACTACGACGCGAACATCTCAAAACCGGTCAAGGATGGCGATGTGGCGCCGCCGGACCTCTGGCCCTTCTTTGAAGGCCTAGAAGGCATCCCCCTGCTCCTGGTCAGAGGCGCGATCAGCGACCTTCTGGCGATGGACTGCGTTGAAGAAATGTCACGCCGCCATGGCGATATGGAGCTGGCGCAAGTACCCGATGTGGGGCATGCGCCCTTGCTGACCGAGCCTGAAGCGCTGGAACCGATCAAGGCTTTCCTGAACCGTCTCGACTGAACGCCTTAGAGGATAACGACCATGTTGCTGCGTATTCTGGGCGGGCTGATCCTGCTGGCGGTCCTGGTGATCGCATTCTTCGCCTGGACCCTGCGTCCGCTGGACGCCGGAGCGGTTCAGTCTCAATGGATGACGGAGGCGGACCGGTTCGTCACCATTGCGGGCGAGGACTGGCGCGTGCGCGAAACAGGTCCGGAGAACGCCCCGGCCCTCGTTCTCATTCACGGCTTCAGCCACTCGCTGGAAAGCTGGGACGCGATGGCGGCCGAGCTTGATGACCGTTACCGGATCATCCGGTTTGACCTGCCTGGACACGGTTTGACCGGGCCGCGCGATGACAAGGCCTATGCGGTGCCGGATACGGTTGCCCAGGTCAGCGCCCTGCTCGACGACATCGCCCCGGAAAGCTTCGCCCTCGGCGGAAATTCGCTCGGCGGTCTGATCGCTTGGCGCTATGCGGCGGACCACCCGGACCGCGTCACGCATCTGGTTCTCATGGACCCGGGCGGTTACCCAAATCTGGGCGTGGGTGACGAACCTGCGCCCATCCCCGACGCCATGCGCGCCTATCTGACCCTCGCACCGGAAGCGGGCGTCCAATACGCAACCTCGACACTGTACGCGGATCCTTCGAAGGTGACGCCGGAACAGCTTGAACGCATCCGCGCCATGATGCGGGTGGAAGGCAATGGTCAGGCGCTGATCGAGCGGATCGAACAGTACACCCTGCCAGACCCCAATCCGGATCTCGCCCGCATCTCTGCGCCCACCTTGATCCTCTGGGGGGACAGCGACGCCATGATCCCGGCGACTCACGGCCCGCGCTTTGACGCGGCCATTCCCAGTTCCCGCCTCGTGCTGATGCAGAACACCGGCCATGTGCCGATGGAGGAATGGCCCGTGGAGACGGCGGCCCTTGTCGAGGGCTTCCTCGCGGAATAGCCGACGCCTGAATCCGAAATAAAAAGGGCGCGCAATGACTTGCGCGCCCTTTTTGCATTCAGAGCCTGAATGGATCAGGC